TGCAAAAGGGTTCATATTTGTTGTCTGTACCTCCCATGTACCTCTCTATGTCTTTCTTATCTCAAAGAATTTTTTTAAATCGAAATATTTAGAGTATAGGCAGATTGCCTTCTAAAAAAAAGTCTTACCTAATTTCTTTCATCATTTTATAAAAATACCCATCTGAAAGCCATTCTAGTTTGATTGGTTTGAAATGAACTTGTTTAGTGTTTTCAGTGATTTTACCTCAATCACTTCTCTAAGATTCCCTTTCCTCCTTTGCCGTTTCTCCCTCCTTCCTTGAATTGCACTCAATCAGTCTTTGAGATCTTTCTGTCAGTCTCCTATTTTAACTTTAAATAGCACAACATACAGTGGATGAGAATAGCAATCAGAAGTGTGTTTCTTACAGAACTGAGCATCCACAGCTTTTTACTTCATTTATTCCATCACCTCTAGAATGTATGTTTTTCTACTTTATAACATTGCTGAACTTGGGATGTGGTTTACAATCTAAGATGTATCATAGTTTATTTAGCAGCATTTTTTTTCTTAGTGATACATAAAATAATAGTGCAAGTTGCAATTGATGGCATCTTAGGTTTGACGATATTGAAGGTTTATACTTTCTTCAGTAGAGATTTGAGTAAGTAGGTTCATCACACAAAAAAATTCATCTTAACAATACATGTAAAATATCCTTTCAAATGTCATTATAGAAGCATATAATATGTCATGATAACATACTTCTGTGATTAAATTGTGAATACTGGCAAATGGAAATCCAAAAATTTCTTGTTTCAAACAATATACTAAAAGCTTATCTTTTCTTCCTCAAACTGTTGTATTTTTATAGAGAAAGAGGAAGGTATGGCAGTAACAGTGATTAAGTGGGCTTTTTATACACATTCTCTTTTAATTCTTATATTATTAAGTCTTTTAATTATACTGCAGGTGGTATTATCACCATTGTAGAGATGACAACAGTAAGGCGCAGAAAGTTTATATATAACTTGCCCGAGGTCATAAAACATATGAAGTGGTAGAGCCAGGATTCAAACTAGATTTGTCTGACTCCAAATGTCTTGATAATCTCATGATGTTCACTGTATGTTTCAAAACTCGTATTTTATTAGCAGTGCATTTCGGCTGTTATTAGATCATTGTTTGGAATACCTGACATTCAGCTCAAATTAAAAAACGCTTCCTTTATAAGGCTGGGGTCCTCAGCTGTACTTGATCTAGAAAGGTGACCCATTCTAATTTAATAGTATTCCCTATTCTTGTAAAATCTACCTTGATG